TTGCATGCTTCAGATCAGGTTTTCATTTTTCTCTTTTTCATTTGAATTGATTTCGCTATGGAGAAGTAATGCGGGTTAAACCTTTATAGAGATTTTCGCGAAAGTGCTTGCAGGAATATTGTCCAAAAACCTCTAAAAACCTCTGCTAATCAATTACATAAATAAGATTTTTAAGTAGTTGCCGATATTATCATTTTTTCGATGAAAAAATTTCTGAAATCTGACGTAGGTATGTGTACGTTAATATGCTATATTTGTTACTGCAATTTCGTAAGTGTATTGAATTTAGAATGAGCTTAAATTGAAAAATAACGGAACAATTTAAAAATAGAATAATCTTTGCCTTTGTTTTTTTTCTTCTATGTTATTATAAAGGGTTTCTAAAACAACTTTAAACACGAATTTTCCTTTATACTTTAGTGTTTTAATTAGAAGGAAAAAAAAAAAAAATTCAAATTTTTAGAATTATATCTTTCTCACATCTCCGATTATACATACATTTGTTGTTTGAGCTTAACTTTTTTTTTGTTCTTCTTTATAATTTGTTTTTTTCTTCTTCTTCTTCTTCTGGGAGTTTAGAGAGAATGTGCTTTCAATTTATTTTTGCAGTCTAGAGGATTTCTATTTTAGTTTTCGGTTCAGTTCTATTCAGTTTAAGGTTTTTTACATTTTTTTTTTTTTTTTTGTTGCTTTCTTTTGTTGGTTTAAGTAATTTTCGAAATGCTGCCCTGTCGACACTTTCAACGTTCGTGTTGCCAATCAACCATTTTGTTTTTTTTTGTTTTTTTTTAGGCTTAAATTTACTTTTAATTTCCTTGTTTTGAATTTAATTAAATAAAAGTAGAAGAATAATGAAAATCACAAAAAAATGGTGCCTCTCGTTACACTTTATGCAAATAAAAATGAGAATTTTCACTAATCGTATCGATTGACTGCTTTTGTCTAGTTCATGAGAAATGTTTGGACTCCATAATAAGAATTAGAATTGGTTTGAACCGTTTTTTTTTTTTTTTTTTTTATGATATATATTACGCAGAGTTACCTTTAATAATATCTCAAATAGTGCAAGAAACTTGATGTGTGAAAAATCTTCAAATAAAAATAAATAAATAAATAAATAAAAATAAAAAATAGAGAAACCTGTATATATGCATATGGGAGACACCTCTTGTAATAATGGAGATTATGGGTTCTCTTCTCTTCGGCTTTATCATTAACATTTTTTCGATTAGTTTTGCTGTATCTTTGTAAAGAAAATATAAGAAAATTATATAACATAAATATTTATTGTAACTCGTTTACCAAGTGAATATGAACAATTTTGACATAAGTGTTGCTGGTCGTGTTTTATTATTATTCTTTTCCATTTGCTTTTCTTTATGGTTTTTTTTTCGTTTTTTTTGGTTTTTTTTTTTTAATATTAGAAGTGCGCTGTGGAGTAATTAATTGTACTTAACTTCTTTATTGCTATAATTTTGTTTAGGTTTCATTTTAATTAATCTTTTTTTTTTTTTTTTTTTTTTTTTATATGCTGGTTTTCTCGTGAGTTTATTTATGGTAATGTGTTCACTAAAGGATATCTGCGTTCACGTATATTATCTTACAAGGAATCGCACACGCTTTCATTTTATACGAACAACTGTCATTCATATCAAGATTTGTTGTATCAATATTCAGTGACTTTGATTTCAGTTTGCTTTTCATTCTTAGGTGGGTTTTTGGAGAACTTCTTTTTTCAGTTGTGTGTTCTTCTATTTTTTCTTCCTATTTTTTTTTTTTTTTTTTTGCTACATTCATTGAAATTTGTAAAATTGTTTCGGTTTCCACTCTTTTTTTTCCATTTTGTTTAAGAGACCTTAAGAATAAACACTTGATAGTATAATGTTTAAATTTTTATTGTTGTGAATCTGATGTATTCGCATGTTTTATAGGAAGGCAGCGAATCGAAAGGGGATACAAATATTTAAGAAAGAATGGAAATGTAACTTAAAATAAATCCTGCCTTATACACGGGTAAGTCACAGAAATTTTACTTTTTTTTCTATTATTATTATTAATGATAAAGTTAAATGAATAATTGTAGGATGATGTAAGGTGATGTATGGTATCAATCAAATCATGGCCCGTGTCCCCCTATAATTGTTTCCATTTTTAATTGTTGTTATTTATATCATTTATTATTATTTTTAATTATTATTTATTATTACTATTATTTTTATTAATTAATATCATTATTATTTAGTTACTGTCATTTTGAGTTTTAATTATTGCTAACTATATTTTTAAATTATTATCAATTATTTTTATTTTTAATTATTATTATTATTATTATTATTATTATTATTATTATTATTATTATTGACCCTGAAATGAGAAAACAATACCCAGATTGTACCCTGCCTAAGAAGTAAGCAGTATAATAATGGTTTTGAACACTTGCATAATACGTAATCATATAACACGCAACATGCGAAATGCTACGCCCAGTTGTTACACACACCGCAAAGGGCACCCTCGAAATTATTTGAAGGAAATACTTATTTACTACCAAAAAAAAAAAAAAAAAAAAAATCGGATGACCCAGCAGATTATCGACCGATTACCTACCTGTCAGTATCATACAAATTGCTCACTAAAATAATTGCGAATAGTTTATACGCTCACTGCATGTCAACAAAGATAATACGAAGCGATCAGAAGGAGGGCGGGAAAGAAACCCAAGAATACAAAAATCAAATTATTGACACGATTATATTTGGCCAAACCATACAAAACCGAAGAAATCTGAGCATGGCATCCATTGACTACCAAAAAGCATTTGACTCGAGGCCGTATCACTTCTTGCTACAAGTCTTGCAAACATACAAAGTCAATTATATAATAATCGGGTTTTCACAACACGCTATGGATCGGTGGAATGTAAAACTGTGCATTGGGAAGGAAACAAGTGACTGAATTGCAAACCGACGAGGGCGATGCATTGCGTTTGCTTAGAATCAAGTAACTTCAGTAGATGGGTCAATAAAATGAAGAATGAGGTGGGATACCGGTTAAAAAATAGAAACACTGACATTTACATCAACCACCTAATGTACAATGTACAATGGACGAAACTATATTTCCCCAACAAAGATAAGCTACACAGAGCAGTAGGAATGATCCGTTAGTTCAGCCTAGGAATTGGAATAGAATTTCGATGGGAGAAGTGTAAGGTAGTAAACATGAGGTCCGGTAAAATCTGCGAAGATAAAGGCTCACTTTCCTTCGACATGGATGGTATAGTGGAAAGTAGGATCAATGAAGAAAATTAAAAATATTTAGGATTTCTTCAACTGAAAGGTATACTGGTGCAGGAAGTGAAGGTAAAAATAAAATCCGCATTGGAAAAAAGCTCAACTCAAAATACAAATGCAAAATTATCAATGCTTGAGCTATATAACAATATACACCTGCTCTTTTGGACTAGTGAAATGGAGCAGCACAGACAATAAGAACGACCGAATACCAAGACAATGTGCACCACCCATGCACTGCCAAAGAGTGAATCAATCTACCGCGCCAACTTGTCGGTCGTGGGCTAGCGTACGTACCGAGCTTGCATGATGCACAGATCACGAAATTGAGGACATGTTTTACTTAGCAAAGAGAATGCCCTAACACAGAAGTGTTGAAATTATACGTCACTAATGCTATGTAATTGGACTTAAAGCGAATTGCACGGAAACCATGCGAATGAAGTTGAGGAAAGATACAATAGACCTGCAGAGTACCTACTAATGGTTAATCAGAGGGGAGTTGTTTTTTGAGAGGGAAGGATTTATTACAGCTATAGAAGATAAAGTAACATCCACAATATGCCACCAACGGCATATAATAAAGCAAGAAATAGAAACAGACTTATGCCGGAAATTCGGGAGCGCTATAGAAACAATAGTTCGTATTATTGCCGGGTGCACAAAGCTTGCTAGCACGGTATACCTGGATAGGCGCAACCGGTAATGTAAAATAGTACATCGTAGTACACGTCTAAAAAACGTGGTATACAAATACCACGACTATTATATTAGAAGTATCAAGCAGCGCCTGTAGGGCGGTTTAAGGTGATGTGAGGTGTATGATATCTAATCGTAGCCCGTGTCCCACTATAAAATTTTTACTTGTTTTTATTTTTAATTATTATTGATATTATTTATTATTGCATTATTACTATAATTATTATTTATTATTACTATCATTATTATTATTATTATCATTATTATTATTTTTAATTATTAGCATAAATTATTAGTATTAATTAATATCATTATTATTATGATTATTATTATTTTTAGTATTAATTATTGCTAATATATTTTTTGAATTATTATTATCAATTATTTTTATTTTATTATTATTAGTATTATTATTATTATTATTATGATTATTACTATAATAAATTGCTATTATTTTTCTTATTCTTATTTTCAATTATTATTAATATCAGTATCATTATTAATTACTATCATTATTATTATATTATTATTCTTGTTATTATTAGTATCATTATTATTATTATTATTATTATTATTATTATTAGTGTTATTATTAATTATTTTAATTTTTTGTTATGGTTATTATTATTTATTATTTTTTGCTTTTATTTTTAATTATTATTGTTATTATTATTATTTATAATTATTATATTGTATTATATATATTTTTAGAACACAACTGATATCATATGACATTTATCAAATATATATATATATATATATATATATTTTTTTTTTTTTTTTATGATGATGATGATTGTAGCTGCGAAGATATTTTCCCTTTTAAGCACACATCCATTCATATTGTGAACAGCCATTTAAGAAGGTAATCGTTGTTATGGTTACTTTTATTACTTTTGCGGTTCGCTATCCATTATTGGTAAACGGTATCATAATTTTTTTTGTCAAACATTTGATGAGTAGGTGTTGGTTCGCGAGACGATAATGGTGATGTTAAAGTATCAATAGTTTGTTTTTGCGTTTTTGTATCGAAATGGGTGCGACTACAGCGTGCTCCTGATCTATGTAAATGATAAAATTGATGATAACGCTGTTCTTCTTCTTTTTGACGTGTCGTTTTATGAGGATTTTTGGCGATGTTATTGATGTTGTTTCCATTGCTATGCTGATGGCTATTAAGTGATGATGGCAGTGGCGGTGGATTTTTAGCTTTTGTGAGCGGTATTGGTGTTGGCATTGGTTTTGGCGTTGTCGTTACGTCGATACCCCATTCGTATAGGAACTCAAGTTTCTGCTGTTCCAATGGGTCATCACTAGCCGGCAGGGCAAGCAAATGTTAGGCTTCTAAAAATATTAATGCTGTTGGTTTAGGTTCAAGGTTTGATTTTTTTGCTTCGACTACTAAGAACGTAATTTCAGACTTTTCACGATTAGCGAAACATTCAGCTATTAAGCGGGCAACCTCCTGCAAAATGCATACACGATTAGTTATCCGGATACATATTGAAATCTTGTTAATTTATATATATATATATATTAATATAAAAACCAACCTCATGATGTAGACCTTCAACTTTATTCCCATCTACTTCAAGTATTAATTGTCCTACCTCTAGGCCACCTGCTTCATAAGCTGCACCATTTTCCTGTTAAAGCACGTAAATATCATAAAAATGCGTGAATATCATAATAGTATATATATATATATATATATATATATTTCTTTTATCTCTTTCTGATATAATATTGACATTTAATACCCACATGTATATTGATGATCCTGGGAAGCGGATGTTTTGTGTTAGCACCACCTTCAATGGCAATACCTAAAATTGGTTTTGTTTTCTTTACGGTTACATGTAAATTGCCTCTGTTATCAGGTACGACGTTGGGATTGTGTTCATGAATTTGATCAGTCGTTGAACCATTCTGCTCAGCTGACAAACGTTGCATAGACTAAAAAATTTTATAACAAAAAATATTATCCTTTCAACGACTTCATAAAAATTTGCTTTTAAATATGCATAAGAGAAATTTCCGAAAAGTAGCAAAAAATCACACAAGAGGATCGAAAGATCAAATGCATTACGCGATATGTAAACATCGAAAACAAGAAGTGACAGCGTCGGTTCGTTAAACATGTAACAGGTTTTGTTGTTTATTAAAAATTGCTTTCTTTTGGGTTTGTAAACATGGCTTACTCTTACACATGCAAAACTATTCATTCCACTTTAACAGTACAATAGAAATGATGACGAGTTTTCATACTCTTTGTTACTAAAATTAGAAAATCAAATCGTGTAATCGTAAAACCTATGTGCTTAGGTAACGCTTAACGGCAATCATACTGATTAAGAAGGAGAGTCGAGAGCACTTTAAGTTTAAGCAATGACAGTGTCGTTCAACTTCTTTAAATTTTTCTTTTTATTTAGAAATTCCTTTTCATAAAGTAAGCATCGCATAGTAACTAAGAAAAGCGTCTTTTACTCTCTCTGCCGATTATTTAACGGTTACTGACCCAATATCACATAATTACTATCGATGGAAAAATATATAGAAGAATGTTTAGTATGATATAACAGTATTATGTTATTTTTGAAAAAAATAGCGAAGAATGAATGATTAAATAAAATGCTGTACACGTATTTTCATAATTTTATATTATCGCGAGTAATAATAATAAGTTATTCTAAATTTTAATTTCCCAGACCTTAATATATGTTATCTCATTTATTAATAATTAATAATCAAGTAATAAATTTTAAAATTTGTAAAAAATTTTAATTGATTTTTTTCTCCTACAACTATTCGCATTCCCCTCTTGTCGTCCACTCAAGATTCGATTACAATTCTCATATAGTCGGCTACATATCCCATCGATCCAACACAGCAATAGATTATGAGTATAGGTATGCAACATTCAAGTGATTCCAAGGATTATTTTTTACATTTTTTTAAGCTTGTCTATCCGTTTGTCTCTCTTTCCATGTAATATCCATCCATCTAATTGCATTCCGTTCAATCTAGAAGTCGCAATATTCCCAATATTTTGATGAAATATTATGATACATTGATATTTTTTAGCCCAAGAACGAATGCTGTTGAATCATTTATGAGACCGCTATCCAAATAATCTCAAAAATGTGGGAAAGTCCTTGTGAATGAAAAAATGTTTCCATTCTTAATATATCGCAACAAAACTTGACAAAAGATAGCATTTTGGAAAAATTTGGATAAAAATGTAAATGTTTTAATATACCTTATAGTGTAAGGGTCTATAGGGGAAACAAGATCGCAACTGGCACTCGGCACTCGGTATCTTTAGTGCGGTGAAATTCTTTTTATTTTTATAGATTTGCTTTTCCGATCTCTTCCCATATACAGGGTTCGTAATGAAGAGTAAAATATTATTTGACAACAAAGTATAATTCCTGATATATTATGAGAAAAATAGATGAAGAATTGCTTTCGAAGAAACGATATAGGGTTTTATAGTAGACGGTTTTTCATTGTCAAGTCGTTCTTTTATTTAAGTTAATCGTTAATAGTTTTTTCAAAAATCTGATTAGATTGAAATTCAAAAAAAAATCTATCAATAATATGACGTCAGCAATGACAATATTTGCATACCTAACATAGGAGTAGCGGGAAAAGTTATTCGAAATGGAAAAAATCGATAAATTATTGCAAATTTTTCGATTACTTAAGCAGTTCTAACTAAGCATTAAATTGCGAAATCGAAAATGATGAAAAGATGAGAAATTTCGTTCTTTTCGCAACCAGCGTTCGTAAAGTAAAGATCTGTGCGTGTTTGGTCCGACTTTTTTTTGTTTTTTTTTAAATTTGTATTTTTATAGTTTTTTTTTTTTTTTTTTTTTTTTTTGTAATAAGAACGTCATAAAGTATGGTCTACACAGTTGAAAGCATCGGTCACCGACTATTGTCTATAAATAGTTTTACAGATTCACCAATGGAGCAACTCAACTTATACGTATCACTTTTCGATGAAATTGTCGCTAACGTGAATAAAAATTTGTACGATGTCTATGATGTATTTGTGCGTAATATGGTCAGCGGTAAAGTCAACGTGGTTGTGGCTCGTATGACATTCGAAAAAGTTATCTCGAAATTGAGACGAATTTCTGATGTAATAGCCATAGATTTATGCGAGATAACACTTGAAAGACTTCCGAGAATGTATATATTTGATGAGCATATAGCTGATTTAATTCAGCTTATTGCGACCATTGTGGAACGAAATGGCTTTGCCAGGGAAGCGGCCGCAACCTTGGCAACTTTGCCCTTCAACAAAGTTAGTTCGTATAATACTGTGCCGTTTAGATTTGACATGTATGTCAAAATTGCTCGTCTATTTTTGGAAGCTGATGACGTAGGCCAAGCTGAAACTTATATAAAACGCGCTGCTAAATTATTACCAAAAATAACTGTAGAAAAATCAAAGATATCGTATAGAATGTATTACGGCCGTATCTTGGAGCGCAGACATCAATTTGCTGAGGCTGCTAAACACTACATTGACTTATCCTCTATACCGCATGTTTCTACGCCTGTATTACAAAGAGCTATCGTTTGCACCATCTTAGCGCCGGTTTGTCAGGAACGCTCCATTCTACTCGCTCAATTACATCAGGACAAACGTGTCAAAAATTTGCTAGCTTATGATATAATCGAAAAAATGCATCTTGCAATTGTTGTGAAACGTGCTGAACTGCAGCAATTTGAAAGTTTATTGCAGGAACATCATAAAGCAATCGCAACAGATGGTATATCCGTTTTCGATCGTGCCATTATCGAACATAATGTAATGGCATATGATAAGGTATACGGTATAATATCATATGAAGCTTTGGCTGCTATCTCGGGAACGCCCACTGATGTTACGGAACTCGTTGGAACTAAAATGATAGCTGAGGGACGCTTGGAGGGTCATGTCGGAAAATCAGTTCAATTAACGAACAAAAATCAATAAGGCCACCGACAAAAAAAACCAGCTATAAAATCGAAATAATTAACGAAAATTCAAGCCAACAATGGCGTAAGCCTCAATATTATGCTCTCACGCTAATTAAAATAAATAAAGAGGCTTGAAAATATCAAATTGCACATGTCTCTTCTTATTTTGCATTCATTTTAAGGAATTATCTCAAGGGGTTTTTCTAATCGACGATCTCTAATCAAAACTGAATTTTCACAAAACCATGAACAGCCTTGGTTTACAACCCTTTACTTAGACAATCAACTGTTTTTTGTGTTTTTTTTTTTTTTTTCTCTTCTCGTACAGTTGCTTATAACGACATACTCGACACTGTCGTTGTTATATGCATTCGGTCGGGGAAATGAAAAAAAAGTGATATACATATACTTTGTTATAAATGGCTAAGGATCGATGTAAAGGTTGTTCTTATCATTCATTAGATTTTCGCGAGAAAGCCTTTATTAAAAATTCCTGTTGACCTCTATTCAAATACTGTTCGCTATCTGTGCTTTAAACGATCAATAAAGCAAATGTGTTAATCCAACAGCGGTTTTAAGTTTCACATAAGCACTAGTCTAGAAATTTTATATCAAAAATTCAGAATTATGAACCGAGACTGATTTTCGAAATTAATTAATTAATTCTCACCACATTTATTCGGTTTTTTTTTTTTCTCCTTCCTTTCTTGCAATAATTTTGATCTCGATTCGTTATGTTTTCAATGTCTGGGATTTTTACGATTTACCATACAATCGTGGACAAATGTATGCATGTATGCAATGTGTACAAGTTATCTGAGCCGTACTTCTCCGATTATTGCAGTTTGCACTGCGAACCGATTCTCAGTGCTGAACAGTACGTTTCGCTTAATACCGTCGTTAAGGGAAGATAACATCATGTGTGCTACAGAAATAGGCCCGTTTTATAAAGAAAAATTTAAAAATGTATCAATACAGAGGTTTATCTCCATATGAAAGCTTATCGTACTGTTGCAGAGTTTACTTCTCGGACTAGAACGACAAAGTAGATATTTTCTCAAAGGTTAACTTAAAATATGTTTGGTTAAACAACAAAAAAACTAGACGAACAGGCGTACAAGTAAGCTCAGATTGAAAATGATTCTGAATCGATCGGTATAATAAAAGATGGGTCTAGGTCATGTCTTTCTGGGTGCTGCATAAAAGCACACACGGAATATAAAGTTGCAGCCGAAGTGGTCTACAGTGTGAAATGTATCTTGGAAAAATTAATCTTTTGTCCGCCCACAATCATTCGCCAAGGAGCACTTAGGTGCATAAAAATAAAGCCCACACAAGATTATATTACTCTTTAGTGAGAAGAAAACTGAAGTCTTATTATCACATTCTGACGTTGTCCCCGCTTGCGATTAAGTTTTACTATCATTTGAGAGTTGGTTGGTATCAATCATATTTGGTAGCTCGCAATAACATTTTTCATTTTTCAGTTTTGGTATAAAACAAAAGACGCAAAAGTCGCAAAACCAATTAAATAAAAATGTCTACGACTGCCTCGTGAAATGTGACTTTTTGTGATAATACTGTTAGTGTGAACTAACCGTTTAGGGTACAGATAATCACCGCGTAAAAAGGAACCAAGTATGTTAATGGACGAGCGAATTTTTTTTTTTTTTTTTAGAAAAGTTTGACGAATTATGTGTATTATCAACATATAGTTTAAACAAAATAACGAAAATGCAATCCAACTGGCTAATGTAATCGATTTATTGTGAACTGAGATTATGTTCGAAGACAGACAGACGTCTTTAATGAAAACTCTTAGATGATAATTTTTAAAATTGGATCCTGTCTAGAAGATAAATATTTAAGCACAAGTTGCTTACAACTAGTGCTTAAATATTTAATTTGTTCACGCGTTTTAACGGATTTGCTTTCGTTCTTTATCCTTCTTGTGGGTTTTTGATTTTCAAAGAAATTTTTGTTCCTATGTAATACATAGATAATTGTAATGAAAAAGTAAATAAATGATGTATATACATATATTACATGGATTACGATATGAAGGGTGCTTAAGAGTAAATGATTTTAAAACAAAATGATACTCAAATACAAATCAAAGGCTAGAGAGCAAGCATTTCTCAACTCAATCATATTTCAATCAGTTTTATTATAAACAATTTAAATATATAATTAAATAAATATATAAGAAGATTTCAAATTATTACGGTCTTATGTGTATTTTCTTTTTTGTTTTGTTTTTTTTTTTGTTTTTTTTTTCTATACAACAAGCAAATTATTGGCAATTTCGTAATAACCAATTATCATAAACGATAAATACGAGGGTTGGAAATGAATTTAACTTTTTTCTCATTATTATTATTATTATTATTATGACTTTGCTTTTTTTCTTTTTTTTTTTAGCAAAAAATAGCAAAATAATTCGATAATGAAAAGAGAATTGTTGTCTCGGGTGTCGTGTTAACGATTGTGATTACGATTGTGATTGCAATTAATCGGTGGCGTTCAATAAATGATTTAAAAAGTATGTGTAAAGTGATCTTTTACAGGCGAATGTTTGTTTCAATTATAATTGAGAAATGAAAATAAAATCAAACCTGTCTACATATTAGAGAAAAGAGTTATTTATAACTTTTTCTCTCGTACCTTAAGAGAAAATTCTAAGTTTGTTGATAACTTTCTTTGTTTCGTTGTTTATTTATTTATTTTTATTTGTTTTTTTTTTTTTTTTTTTTTTTTTTTTTGATAGGTATTGTTGTGCTTTTGATTTTTCACACTTACCTGATGTCTACGTACACCCTTCTCATTTAGTAATGTGCTGCCATCTTCCTTCATATCGAAACTTCTCGAGAGTTTTGTAGCCAACTCCTAATTAGCACATTTTTATGTTTACATATTTTGTTTTTTTTTTTTTTTTTTTTTTTTTTTTTTTTTTTTTTTTTTTTTTTTTTTATTTTTTTTTTTTTTTGGTTTTTTCACATATTTGGCCCCCCGAAGATTAAAAGGGATTTTTGCGATAGAATTGCATTTGATTGTAGGTGGGAAGAAGGTTTAAAATGTGAAAAAAAAAATTATTGAATTGATTTGACGATAAATTATAATAATTATATTATAGTGAATAAAAAAAAAAATAAATAAATAAGACATTGGTTTTAAACAAAACAAATTGCAACAGCACACTTAGTGTTAAAAGTGGTCACATGAGACATGTTGTGGTCAATTTAAGTTTCTTTTAGCTTTGCCCGAGTTTTTGTGCATGATATTTAGTAAGTTTGTAGTATATTATCGTTTCAATTGAAGACAAATATTTCGTTTCCGCCAAAAAATATTTCGATTATTTTAAAGCATTAAGAACGATCTGATGTATAAATTGTGTTGGTATCTATCGATGTATGTATTTCTCATTTTACAATTTTTACCTTAAGAAGGCAGTGCAGGATATTATTAAAAATCTACTTTAGGAATAATTTCATAATTGCTTTTTATTGCGAATTAATTTAGCAATATAACTGAATGAAGGACTTTCTAAAAACACCTAAACTATGATTTTTTATTTTCGCTTAAGGAGACTTTAATAGAGAAATATTAATGTTTTCATTGTTTATCAGTTATTATAACATATTTCAATGTATTTAACGTAGAGTATTTCAACTGTCATTGCGTCAATTAAATAAACGATTGATCGAATTGATTTTTTTAATTTTAGTTAAGTTCCTCTCAATAGTAATAGAACTTCACCCTGATACCAGTTTGCCAGGCTAAGAATATGTGATTCATTTCTGCTGGGGCATATGCCTATATATAATATCGGGAGAATGAAATTTCATTTTTGTCATAAAATTAGCGCAATTATATTCACCTACTGCTAGGAACAAAATAATTTATATTCCAATAATTTAATTCCAAATATATTCAAAAACATATTTTGAGCAAAAGATTCAAAATTGCAAAATTTTCTCTTCTCAATTAAAAACAAATAAGGAAATTATTTATCGATCGTAACTGGATCGTTCACAATCATTGCCGTTATCCTAGAAAAGACTAACAAAAATGAAAAAAACAAAATTTTTATACTTTTTTTTTTCCGTTGGCAGTTTTAAGCTTCTATCACATAACGTGTATGGGCTTTGCAGACGTGTCCCTTGACCGGTTTGGATCTTTCTGCAATTCTTTTGCAAATTTTGTAAGTGATATCTTCATATTTGTGAACGAAAGAATGCTTACCAAAGATATTACACAGGTGGGCAGGTGGACAGATGGACAGACGAGAAGAGGGACATCCTTAGGTGGATTCCGAAATTGTAAATGGTCAAAAATTTATATAGTTTATGAGTTAATTGGAGCTTATTTTCGCGCGTTTAAAACTATGGAATTTTTTAATACTAAGTAGGCGAGGTTAATTTTTCGAGTTTTTGTGCAGGTGCTACAGCGTCGCTAATTGAATATAATTTCGAACTTTTTGTCAATTTATTTGCCATAGATTATGAGTAATGAGCAAAAATTCAATGTTTTATATCTTTTGAAAAGCATAGGTGCTCTCAGTTTACGTAATACTATAGGTATAGTCCTTCAACTAATTTAGCCCATTTTCAATATGACCCTGCGAACAAGAACTTTCAATGCTTTCGCCAAATCTTAAATCGATAGCTACAGCTATAGCTGCGGCCAGGAGAATTATTACAACAGATATTACATAGAGGGACAGATACGCAAACGAACCGACGACCATGCTTAAATCGATTCAGAATTTAATGCAAGATATGTCGGTGTACAAAATTTCATCGAAATATTTCAAAAATTATAATCTTAGGATGCTTATAAGTTGAATATACGAAAATAAAACAGAAGCGTAGATGGACAGACAAGCTTAGACCGATTCAGAAAGTGATTCGGAATCGATTGGGTAAAAAATGGGCTTATCGCAAGTCCTTTCGCATGTTGCATATATCATCGCGCTAACTCAACATGACCTTGTACCACAAGTGGCAAAATGCCATTAATTCTTAAAAAGTCGATTAGATAAAAAAAAGATTTAATATTTCAAAGTTAAAAACAATTTTCGGAACGATTAAGTCATTTAATGTAATTCACAGCAATAAAAATAATTTAATCAAATTATAAGTAATTTACACGAGATTGGAATATGATAGCTGAGTTATGAAGGGTGTACGCGAAAAAGATGTGAAAGTACCGTACCTTAAGTCAAGAATATAAATTTTTAACGAATATTTGTGTGGAACTTTTAAACTCAAGCGTCGAAGATATATATGCCGACCAGAAAAGGTCTAATAGAACACAATCTACTTCGATTGGTAGAAAAATTAGTTGAATCATTATTTCAATTTTAACAAATTTGTGAAAATTAAAATTATATATTAGATTAAGTGACGTCACGTCCTATGAAAGGAAGACTATAAAGTTTTGCATGGCTCTTATATACTTAGAGTGCTTTCATGGTTTTCGGTGACATACGTTTACCTCGATATTTTTTATGCTTGTTATACCTTACATCATTTGTAGCATAATAGGTTAGTGTGCGAAGACTTGAGATAGGATCACCTTTTATTATACCGATCGATTCAAGCTTGTCTCCACGTTTGTTTGTCTCACTGTTTCGTTTTCTTATGTTCAGAATACACGTCGTAAGTTTTGAGATATTTTGATGGTGTGTTTCGATCCAAACACGAACACTATGAAAAATGTTTCGAATCGGACCATTTTTTCAATAGTTTCTCACGCAATGCCTTATTTTGATGGCTCCTTATAAGAAAAATTAATATGAATTTCACAAGTTCGCGATAAAAATCACTTAGTAATAGTATTTCGATATATTAAATTGGTGTCGGATGGTGGTCGGATGAGGCAATTTTTTGAATTCCTTGCCATATAACCTTTCCTAAGAAAAGAGAATCTTTATACAGTAACGAGGCCTAAATGCTTTCATAATAATAATAATTGAACATAAGAATTAACCGTAACCGAAGTTGGATTACGTAAGTCTATTTTCTGGATCCTAATCCACATAAGTATAAGCCTTCATCTGGTCCCATTTTTATTATATTTTATGTTACAAATTTTTCTTTAGTCTTGGTGAATTTGGATCATATTGTTTAATTTTTTCGATCGCACGACAGGGAATATAACAACATTTTTGACAAATTAATTAAATTTGCTAAATTTAGACCACGTTGACATTTGAATATTCTCTAATATGATGGATGTCTTCCATGAAAATTATGCTTTTACATAAAAACGATATATAATTTTTGGTATATCATTAATTAAGCAAAGTAGTGTAGGCTATGTCTTGCCCCACTGTAGTATGCTTATTGTTACATTAATGTTTGATAACATTGCAACTAATGTAAGCGCAACTTTCATAATCGTTGCAAAACATACATGTCGGTAAAGTGCTAGAAAGCTAGAAATGGAAGCAATTTGTTCTCAGAATTTCTAGAGAAAGTTCTCTCCCCAAAAAGATTATGACAAATAACTCATATGAATCATTGAATTACGTTCATTCGAGTAGAAGTAGACGTGAATGATAGGACAAAGCTTAGCCATATGTGGCTGTAGTGACGCTCAAAGAGAGCGTGTGAAATGAATTTCTTATCATTAATCTCTCCAAGATTCAGCTAAATCGACTCAATTTCTTCTGCATTAAAGATTTACGTTGAAATAAAATGAAAGCTTGATAAACTTTTCATTTGCAGCTTTTTGTGTTTAGGCTTTTTTTTTTTTTTTTTTGGAAACAATGGATACTCCATGGGTCCGATTTAATTAATTCTACCTATCGTGAGATGGTGCGATAGTATGTACGAACAATGTAAAAATTTTGCTCTTTTAGAGATTAAAGGCGAAATTCTTTCCGCAAATCACACTAATTATTAGACCATATACGTTCTGGCACATATTTGGTAAATATCGCAAGATTCTGTAGTTGTCTCAAGCAAATTTAAAGCAGTTGCTATGGAAATTATTCTCTGTTACTTTAATGCGCCGATTTTTAACATAACATAGTCCTAAGTGACTTTCTTTTTAGGATTTCATTTTTGTTTTTCTTGTTCTTCTTCAATTTCTTTTCCTGTTCTTGTTTTTTATTTTTATTTTTTTTTTTTTTTTGTTATTGTTTTCACTGAAGATCGATAATGAATTTCATATGGTTACGATATTTGGGATCAAATATCGTTTTAGCGCCTAGGTGTGGTATGTGCGTATGTGTGTATTTGTCTCTGTTGGATTAATTGGACTATATTATAATGCACCACAGTAAAATGATCAAATCTCTGCATATGTGTCTTGTTGAGCTCATGTAATTTGTTTAACGATAGCAAGCAGTTCGCCTATCCCTTCAGACACACTCGCAGAGAATAAAAAACGCACTTTAATAATAAATTGGAAATAGAATATATGCATAATGTATATTACAAATTACACGCTATATAGAATGAAGAGTGCGAAACGTATGTGAAATTATTATTTTTTTTTTTTTTCAAATGTATTCAAATGTGTTTATTAAAGCTACTAACTGTAATACAAAGCACTGAACTAAACTTTTTTTTTTTTTTTTTTAAATACAATAAGGATATAACAATAATAACAACACTACGTAATTAATTAATGCAACTACTAAATACTACAATAATTGTACAAGTGATTAGTTGCGAAAGTTACAGAGAGAATATAAATACACGTAGAATTTATGTTTTAGTTTAAATTAACATTCATGAAGAGTGATAAACCATAAAGGGAAGAGAATAAATTTAAGTTCTGAGTTTTTTTATTTTGCACATATAAGAAAGTTTTGGTTGTGCACAATATGCTCAAATGAAATCAAATTTTAGTAAATTTAATTAACAGTAATTAATACAGGGTGACTCATGCGTTAAGGTGCAATTATATTTTTCAAGCCTTCTTCTTGTTATTTTTTGTTCTTTTTTTAATATTTGTTTTTTTTTTTTTTTATAGTGCTTTCATTTTTGAAAATAATTTTGAATAAAATTAAAAATTTGTTTTTTAGAATGAAATATAAAATTAAAAACGGAATAATTAAAATAAGGAAATACTCGTCTCGGGGCGAACTTTGCATACCCCTGTAACTATTTTATTTTATATTTTTAAATTTAAAATAAAAAAAAAAATAAAAAAACCGTATTTATCTCTCTGGACTTATCTTCAAGAAATGATCATGATGTAGGTAGATGTAGGCAGGTAGGTGCTCTTTGCCCGCTTTATTTTTATTATTTTTTTTTTAATTACGAAATGTGCAAATCGCCGGATCAAAATTTTACGTGACTTTGTTAATCTTTTTGCTGTAGGTAGGAATGGTAATGAATTATCGCTGAAAGTGTACTGAATTTTCAAAAATTTTAATTTAAAAAAAAAAGGATTACAAGGAGAAGAATTTCGTTCTTGAGACTCTTTGAATGTTGAAATATAAAATAGTTACTTGGAGCTGTGTTAGGTAAATAAAATATGGTGTTCGTGAAAGGATAATATCTGATTTTTTTTTTTTTTTTTTCTCTCAAAAAACTGACAAATATTCTAGCCAGGATGATAAAGATCCGTTATTGTGATGCAGACGTTAGTATTCCGAATTCGGAAAGTTTCTGGCGAATAGATTCATACAAACAACTTGGAAGGGTTGAACAATATTTCTTATTAACTATTTGATCCTCGGACATGAATTGCTTGTGAACAACATGGAAATAATGACAAGAAATTGTTCAACGGGAATTTGTAATGCTCTGCTGTGTTGGTTTTTTTTGGTATCGGTCCATCATGTTGAAGTGTTTCTAAATTGTAATCATGAACTTTAACGTGTATATGCATCCTCATTCATATAAAGTAATGTTTTCAATCATTTGGACAAAATCTTACTCCGCAATGAATACGGCTGTGTTGTATCAAGGCGAGAAAATGAACGAGAAAATTGAAAATCGTTCATTAAATTAATTGAATTAATTAAATTTCAACTGATATTTCAGTAATGTTTTCAGCCCATTCCCGACATTTAAACGAGGGTGGTTAAGTTCAAAGAGATCATTGGTTTTGCTGATATATATTTATCAATATATTTACGGTCTTCTCATGCTGCCTTTTATCATATTTCGATGCGTCGCCATTAGCATGCCTTATACTGCACAACGCTTGAGGTATAAGGATATGCTAAGTTTATGCAAGTATAGCCCATACCCAAAAGAATTTGAGATAGATATTTTTTTTGGAACTTTTATTAGACAATTTCAAGTTTGTCTGTCCCTCTGTCAGTCTATATTGTTTTCTGGTGTTCAGTTTTCAAGTCGCGATTTTTGAGACATTCTGATGACGTATTTTGGCCCAAAACCGAACGCTATTGAACCACTTTTTCGACCGCTTCCTACATAAAACCTTATTTGAAAAATCATTATGTGAATAATTGTATCACATATTGTACGAAGTGGATTACGTAATATAATGGTGGGCGAGCGCTCCGATGCAATGGTTTCACTTGTTTTCTGACTAAAATTTAATACAAATTCTTTACTCAATAAATTGGTTCGCTTTGAAAACTCGCCACTAATAGTTCCCAACAACTACAAAAGATGGCTTACATTTACGGACAATTTACACTTACGAACATATCGTATGCCTTGAAATTACTCTTGGTTAGATGGGTGATCGCTATTCACTTCTTCTTTTTAGAGTAAAATTTCCATTAATTTTTTCAACACAGTCTTCCGTATAGTGTAAACTCAATTAAACTTTTCGTTATCAATATATACCCGTTTTGTCCAATTACAGGAAGAAAGAAATCCTTGCAATGTTAAATAGATATTAGAAACTCTCTGTATTATTCTACGCTTCATATAGAAGTTACAGGAGGTTTTGCGAGCATTCATTGGGGCACAAAATAGGTAACGCAATTGCGGAATGCAACAATAATTTACCTTAAGAAAAATATTAGATAATTTTTTTTCTAAAATGTTCTCTCAACTTTTTTCAATCGAACAAATTGTAAACTGACAGACCTGATTACATCGCCATAGTAACTTGGCTTTGATGGGAGAATACATAACACTTTTTAAGATCTCTATGGTCTATATTACAAACAGAACAAGTGCAAAAATAAAAATAAAAAAAAACTAAAAATTCATAGAACTAAGATAAAGAAGAAGAAAAAAAAAAAAAAAAAAACAATATGTTGATAAACTAATTTACATTTATGACCAAATGGCGATTAATAAAATTTTCCAAATTAGAATTAATTTCTGCTTTACTTGACTTTTCAAAATGCAAGTGCAAACCAAAAATAAATTGCATGTTTATTCAATTTTATTGAAACTAATATACGAAAGCAGGCTAAGTAGAATTTTCATACGCAATTCAATATCACAACAAATAATAAAGCTGTATTTTTTATTCTGATACCAAGTTTTCAATACCCACCACCTAGGTATGCAATGCATTTTATTGAATTCCCTGGAAACCTTTCCGGCTAATGTCCCAACTATTTTTGTCGTTTTTTCGATTGACTATGAATATAACGCAGACTGTTCATTAAAACATGATTTCCACTTTTAGCTATAACGTGGACGCATGCTCTCGATGTATGAGGGAAAATGATCACAATTATCATTTTTTTAATCTACAACCATAACTATTATTTCTCTTAAAGAAAAGCTATATTATACTCTTATGATTGATTTTTATTTTTCACTTTTATCCAATAGCTAGTTTTCTATACGCATTTTTCGCCTTTTTTGCTTTCTGGTCAATATAAAAAGTTTTTCGATCCATTTTATCGGTAGTTACTGCAGATCAGTGAAAATTTTCATAATGATGTCATGTAAGGACGGACGTATTATCGTAAATCGAACCCGAAACCGGTTACGATCTGCTTTGATTCGAACACCCTGATGGTGGATATATAATAACATAATGTATTTTTGCATTTTAAAATTTTACTATGCATTAAGTTTATATAATTTTTTTTTTTTTTGTTTGGTGAAGGATATGGTGAAGAGAAGAGAGTTTAGCAATATATAGTCAAACATTGATATAAAAAAAAAACAAAAAATGCAATTTACAAATAGGTGTTCTGCAACTGGCTTTTGAGTTGACTGTTTTGTAAATAATGGTTGTTTCATTTTTTGGGTATTTATTTATTTTTGTTTTTGAAATTTCTTTTTTTGGTTTTTTTTTTTTTTTTTTTTTTTAAAGTGAAAAATACAATTGCACTTACAATAGGTCGTCCCCAATACCATGATTTGACACGTTGTGTTAAACCACCCAAATGTGAACGTAATCCATCTAGGTAGCCGCCCTGTAAATGTACAATGAACGAGAGAAACAACAACAACAACAACAACAACAACAGCAACAACAACAGCAACGGCAAAAAAATACGAATACACCCATACACCCCCATCCACATACATACATCCTCATCCACACACACACACACACACACACACACACAGACCTAAACATGAAAATAAATGTAATAAAACAATGGGAACATAAAAAAAGAAGAAATAGAAAAAACAAAAAAAAAAAAAAGATGATAAAAAATAAGGAAATCAAGAAGAGTTTATAAATTATTTAACTGCAAGTCACTCTATAAATCTTATCTCTTCATAGTTAATTATGAGATAAACCGTTTAGTTAAGATATAATGCAATTGAAATGAAATAAACTAATTGAACTAATTGAATAAATTTGTCAACTTAAAGGTACACAGGAAGTATTTCTTAAGGGGTTTGACTAACTAAATCTTTACGCTCAGGTACAAATCTAAGGCAAATTTCTAAGTTTTCATTATTTTACTATGTATTAAGTGCGAATTACTTTCAAAAATATTTAAAATTTTTTTTTTCCTTCTCTCTCTCTCTCTCTCTTTCTCTCTCGCTCCTCTCTTTCTCGCTCTATCTTTTTTTTTTTCATCTAAATTAACTATATATTACTAAAAAGTATTTAACAACTTCTATAAAAAAAAAATAGTTTTCTATTATATAATTTGTTTTTAAAATGTGATTTCCTTCAAAGAGAGAAAAAAAATTTCTAATTTCTTTATTCAAATCTTTTACTAAAGAGTACTTCTAATGGCGGATGTTTATGTTTTTCATGTACGATGATTATTATGTTTACTTATTTTACTTTATTTAAATTATAACGAAATATCCAACCTATGGATAAGTTAGGTAATTAATTTCTTAATAAAATAACTTAGAGGAAAAGAAATACGCAGGCTTTTACGCAATAAATCAAACACTTACCTGTTCCTATTTGATCCGTATTATCCCCAGTCATATCCAGGGAAAGACATGAAAAGAAAGGGAGTAACATATAAATTTATTTAAAGTATTCATCAAATTATATACGAAGTAGATCATGTGATTAGAAGAAGATGAAGAAAGAATGACAGCATTTTTAGAAATCATGTGTAAGAGAAAGATTCCTTATGAAGCTTATAAATAAACTTTAGTTCGATCGTAAGTACTATTTCAAGTCATTTTCCATTGTTGCAGGATTTGCGATATCTTGCGTTGGATCTCAAGTGAGAATATGCGAAATTATCGAGAGACTCGTAATTGTAATTGTGTTTATTTAGGTATGGGCTACACGATCGCTATTTATAAACTGCAAAGTAGAAAATTTAATTGACAATGTACATGAGAAAATATGCCAAACATTTCCCGGTTGCTTTGCTTACACGCTTTTAAGTTATGCGTATTTTTCTTGTAGGGTAAAAATTGATTAACACCAGTCTTAGGTAAGGGAAAGAAAGGTTTTTTTTTTTTTTTCGCTTATACCGGTTATAAGATCTTCTCTTTTGGGTATCGTTTCGTATCCTGTATACATCTAACGTACATAATGCACATTTACATTTTAGATTCCATATGTGTTTCCTGTAAATCCAATTAAATCTAAAAAGCTTGTCTAAGCTACGAAGCAGTATTCTAATACTCTAGTATCAGAGATGATTTATCCGAGATTTTGCATGGGCCTAGGAATTCGTCTTTTTGCAAATATGCTAATTTTGTCTGATTTTAAAGATATTCCGATAAGTAGGGCCTCTATACGGAGAAATAAAAAAATTCTATTTGGGGTAGCATTTAAATTTCTTCAGGTGATTGCAGTCGTTTGATGATCAAGCCTTGGATAATATCCTAGTGCTCGATATAAGTCATAATTTTTTCATCACCAAATTGACATGACTTGTATTATCAGCATGTGGATGATCAGTATTAAGTGATAAAACAAGATGATCATGTTATAAATTTCGAATAATTTCCATCACTATTATAATTAGAGTAGAATCATTTTCGTTGTAAAATTTACTCGTAAAACCGCTCCAAACCATTTTATGTCCTACATAATCCGAAATTTGCTCAAAAAAGAGCAATTAGTTTGATTTAAACTCAGGAAGGAGATATCTGGATCTTCCAAATGATGTGTTGATATAAAGAATACGTTTTAAAGTTAACAGGAGATCACAGCCACGCCACCTGATGATGCAACCCTAAGTGGAAATGACACATTCTGACAATCTATGCATGCTAATCGGACGTGTAGTAGTCCGGTTATAGTGTCATCAATAGTAACGCGAGTTTTTATCCAGTAGCAAAGTGAACAAGCCTTAGACGCGCTTTCAGATTAGTCATGAAGGCGTAGATGATGAATATGTTGGGCATTTGAAATTTGTGCTAAGTGAAGATGCATTCCAATTAGTGGAAATTCATATGTCCAAAGCATCAATTCATCGCATTCTCAGCGAGGTTTGTTCATGCTTCGTTTCGATGACTTAAAACTGGATAGAAAAATTTCTACTTATAACTAACTGCTCCAGCTATGATTTAAAACCAACGATTACAACAAAGTATTTACAATTTATTTAAATGTCAAAGGACAATGAAATACGTAGTGTACGTACACTTAACTTACACTTTAACGTACACTTTAGTGGATCCAAAAAAAAAATGTAAAAGGGAAAGAAAGAAAAGTGTTGCGAATGATTTCATTTTATTTTATATAAAACCAGAGTTTAGTGACGGGCGTTTTCAAATCTTCCTGCTGACTTATGGAACACACTTTGTAATTGTATATTAGGGAAATTGGGTGATCAGCTACTCGTGTGTTCAAAGTCTTTAACGAAAGCAAAAAGATAAAGACGTAAAGTCAACTTAATATGCACCCTTGGTTCACCAGGTAAATCGGCTTTGACATCTAATGAATTCTTTTTTTACAAACACTTTACATATACATAGAATGGAAATTGATATAAGCGCATGCACAAGAAAACGAAAAATTCTACAAAAGCCAATTAAAAGATTTCCAAAACTAAATATTTTATTTATTTATTTATTTTTTTTTTGTTATTTTAAATCAATCAAGTTTATAATAACATAAGTGCTTTAAGAATCATTCTCATCGAAAAATTTTCCAATACTTTTTGCTTTGGATACGTTTGGGTAAACTGACGAGATCAACTCTGCGTAGTTTGGAAATTGGTTTTTGGGTCTGCTTAAATTTTGTTTTTTTTTTTTTTTTTTTGTATGAAATGCATGAATATGTACAGTGAGAGCGAATTAGGAACCTTTCACCTTACATATTTCTTCAAACTATGGCATATGTATGTTGAACGTAGAACAGATATGCGTTTAACATAATACCAAGAAGTGAATATAAAATCGTAGGTCAGTTTAGTTTGATTGAAGCTCAGATGGAAAGCAATGCACAAGTTCAGCCTTAATTCTTATATGTTACATGATAGGATATGATTTACATTAACTAAATAATAACATTTTTCGAATCAGTTAAAGAGAGAAATCATTTCAACTTCTACTTCTCTACGAAACTCATGCTTCCATTTTCATAAACAAATAAAATTTTTATAACAAATACAACTAAAGTTAAGTTAAATGAAAAGACAAACACAAAATTGTAATCGACAAGTGAGCAGCGAAATAACGTTAACAACAATCGACTGAATGGTGCGATAAGATTTCATTTAACACTCTTAACACGTTCACGTGACCGGGAAGATTTTCCAGGGTTTTGAGAAACTTTTCCATAATCAAAAGTCTCCCATTCCAAGCCAACTGTTATTCAGTTATTTAATTTGAGCGGGATGAACGTACGTGCATTGACTGAAAAGCTTGCACTCTCAACAAGAAGATAACAACGCTTGTTCCCAAAGGTTGGGGAATATTTTTGCGTATGCCTTGATAACTACTTACACTACTTACAGTAATTGAAAATTGAAAAAATTGAGTACCGGGCTGTCGTTAACTATTTTATCTTTAAAACATGTATGAGTCTATGCAGATAAGAGGTGAGCTGGGCGCTATATACGTGGATCATTCACGACGGGGAAACATTGGGGGCTCGAATTAAGGCGTGGTTATGTCAGATTGGCTGACGATGCACATTCGGGATGACGAAAAATTATGAGGCTGGAGACCTAATATGAAAAAATCGAAACGACTTCTTTGCTCACATACTGAAGCAATTTTTATCAATATTTAGAAACGAGAAAGTTGACTGAACGTTGGTTTCCACCTTCACAAACGATAGAATAAAAACACCCAGGCGCAAGTCGATCCCTATGATAAGAACATTATATAGATGGCAGGTCTATTTGTTGCCATACACACCATGTTTTCTAAATCTAACTTGAAGCAACGATTATTTTTGGGTAATAAATTTGAAAAGGACGCTCGCTCATGTGATAAGATCGTTATGGAAATTGAAGCGTATTTTAAGAGTTTTAACAAACTTTTTTACGTACGTTAGGAAACGTTTAGGTTGATTGTATCATTTTTGAAGAAGAAATTATCTTGGATTCATGGCTATTCCGACAAACCTCGTAAGCTGTACACAAGATAATGTTTTAGTCGCAGATAATATTTGCTTCTTGCTGTTAAAATACCACTTGTTTTAGAAGCAAAACAAAAAAACAGAAAAGAAACAGCGTTCAAGGATACACGGCTGCGGCACAGTTGCAATTACGGTGCGTGCATGGCGTTCCAATTGCCATCTAATCAGTGTTTCACTCAATGACAATCTACTGATTTTCTTCATTGAAAAAGCAATCAAGTCAAAAGATTCTTCGAAGCGAAGGGAAATACTATGGGAACTAACTATTTATTAAACCCGATAATCCTCATCAGAATGGAGAGGAAAGAGGCCCGTTTTTACGAAATTTATTGTATCATTTATTGCAATAAGCATTTAAAGGATCATCACGTATTTGCTAATACACTCGATATGTCGAATAACGATGCTTGATATGTAAATGTAATGGATGATGGCAGTGATTTTCGGGAAAAAAACGATATGAAAAACACAATGTATATGAATAGAAAAAGATGTAAGCTAATCGAGCATCGTATATATTTCGATGGACGATTTTGGAAGTCTAAGTTTTCCTCAGTACTAAGCTAGCAAAGGGAAAAGTCGTTTAGTAGATACGCCTAAATCTTTTAATATATAAATAATTGTTTGAAAAGAGATATGTCTGCGACTCGACAAAAAAAAAAAAAAAAAAAAATTAAATTCGTTAAATGCCGAATTTTTGGTACAAGTCAAGTCAACTGTTTTATGTTATACAAAATTTAGAATGTTATTTACGCGTGTATTTGCAAGTTACGCATGATGGTGTTTTTTACTTTTTCTTGTTATAGCCATAATAAGTATTCGTATGCTATTTTAGAACGATAAGCTTTGCATTTGAATTTGTAGTTTTTACATTTTATTAGCATACTTTCAGGCGAATCGCTTTCTTTTTCAGACTTAAACCCTAGGTAAAAGTGTGTATGACAGGAAATCTCTATCTTTATTTTCGCAACGGTAAACGTTCTAGTAATAGGCGACATGTAGGCAAATGTAGATGAATGGAAAGCATATCTCGTATGCTTATATCTGTCCGTGGTGGGGGGAAAAAAGAAAGCAAAAAGAGAAGAAATGGCAAATAAATTACATTTGTCTAACGTTATGGTATTTAATTATAAATAATAGCGAAAATCTGCTCACTTGATGATCGTATATCGTTTCTTCAACGTACAATTTGTTATACCAGAGAAAATCTAAGCACATAAAGATATCGTCAAATGCTTTAAAATAAAAAGTGATGAAATCCCAGGAAATTTCGATATTTCTGTTATCAATAACAGTGGAAGAGCTCTAGCTCTAGTGTACGAAAATGAATAGGAGATCGTTTTTGTTTTTTTTTTTTTTAAAAAGAAATGACATTTTTTGAAATATTTTTAGCAACTTTTGG